CTCACCTCAACCTCCCAAAGGCGCGGGATTACAGGCTGAGCCACCGAGCCCGGCTTCTCTTCTTTTTTTAAAGCTCCAAGCTTATGCACTTGTCTCTCACCACCGTTTACTTCTACTTATTTGGCACGTGCATCTCTCACCTACTTCTGAAAAAGACTTGAGGTGGCTCACAGTAAGAGATCTGTACAGTTAAACTGTCCAGGAACGTGTGGAACTGTGCCCTTGAGCTTTGTGGCTGGGGCTTGCTGCCCTGGAGGGAATGCCCAGACGCCATGGGTTGTGGGTGGAGCTGGCTTGGGAGCCATGCAGACTTTCCCGTGCAAAATTCCAAAAGGAGTTCACGAGAAGTGCATCCACAAAGGTTGGTGGACACCACGTAGCCGTGGCAAGACTCCTTCTCAGCTGTCTGTTGCGTCTTACACATGCTCTTGATAAGGGCCGCTGTGACCCTGGGATGTGTGGAGGCACTTCCGGGGAGTGGGTCCTGGCTCTCTCTTGGTATAGTCGGGCAGCGCTCAGAGCACTGAGTCTTGCTCCTTGGATGTCAGCGACTCGGCCAAGAACTGGATAGAGGCCATTCAGGACGGAACTCTGGTGAGACGCCACAGTGCTGACAGCCACGTGGCTGGGTGAGGAAGAGACCCAGGGGTTCTCAGACTTTGAGTCTACGGAGCACTGTCATGCACCTCCCTCACTCTCCTCCCAGCAGCCCACCGGGACTGTGTGAGGGTCAGTCCAACCCTTTGGGTAGACGGGGAAGCAGAGAGTTTGAAGAAGCCCAGTGAGTTTTACAAGGCTGTATGCTTGGTTAGCGGGAGAGTGGCAGCTGCCACTCAAGTCTCCTGGCCCCTTTGCGCCTGCCCCATTGCCGTGCTGTCTTGGAGGTGACCCTTTGCATCGGTTTGACAGAGGTTAGAGCCCTTGCCTGGGGTGCAGAGATAGTGGGGAGGAGGACAGGATGTGCTGCTGTGTAGACCCAACCCATTTCCAGATGTCGAGGCAGCCCAGGACATAGTGCTCAGCCCATAGCTAGGCCCCACTCCTTGAGGCCCATTCTGCCAGGAGGCTGGGAGAAGGTGGTCCTGCTGCCTCCCACACCAGGGGCAGGTCCCAAAGGTGGACACTCCCGCCTCCCTCCTCCAGCCCACGCCCTGCTTCTCTGCCGCCAGCTCCCAGACCCTCGGTGCTGCCCAGAAGAGCACATCTCAGTGGGGGCCGTCCCTCCTGGGCACCTCCGCCCCACCTGTCCCTGGGCCTCTGTGCTCAGCAGGACTTCAGGCCTCTTGGGAACTGCCACCTGCAACTCACCCAGACCCCGGAGGAGCGGCCCCTGCCCTCAGAGGTCATGCCCAGAAGCATCTTCGTGCCCAACTGAGCATTTCCACACAGGAAGTACCAGGCCATAGCTTTGAGGGATTTCCACAGAGTAGAGTTTATACTCTTTCCTAGAAGCTTCGTGGGAGCTTTGGCCCAGCAATGTTTTGTGTACAGCCGCCGAGTAAAGAACAATGGCTTTGAGAAAGCTGGAAACCTGGGTTCTGATATCAGCTCTGTCTTCAGCTGCTGGTGTGACCTTGAGCAAGTTGGGTCCCTCAAGGCTCCTCTTTTCTTTGTGTGAACATTTTTCTGAAGCACGCAGCTCGAAAAATCTTTGATCCTTTACAGAAGTAGTCTCCTTTTTTCCTAGTGAATCATGTTTCTCTTCTCTCAACGCTGAAGGGAACATCAGGGTTAAATTTTGAGTGCAAATATACCTCGGCCTAAAATTTCTGGTTCAGCCATTTATCTTAATTAGTGGTTATTTGGGACTTGCTCCTTCAACTGTGAGCGACCACAATTATCTTTTTTTTTTTCTTTTGAGTTGGAGTTTCACTCCGTCACCCAGACTGGAGTGCCATGGCCGCTCCCGGCCACCGCAGCCTCGACCCACTGGGCTCCGGCAATCCTTCTGCCTCAGCCTTCCGAGTAGCCGGAATGACAGGCGCGTGCTACCACACCCGGCTGATTTTTGATTTATTGTAGAGATGCGGTCTTGCAATTATCGTCTTTTTAGAACACAAATAAAAACACTGCTATTACCTCGAAGGTAGTAACACTCTTTGTCTTGCCATGTCTCTGTATTATCCATGAGAAATCCCTGCAGTGCTTTGACTCTGTGTGCATGTTATCACTTTATTTTTTTTTGAGTTGTAGTCTCACTCTGTCGCCCAGTCTGGAGTGCAGTGGCACGCTCCCGGCCACCACAGCCTTGACCTACTGGGCTCTGGCAATCCTTCCGCCTCAGCCTTCCAAGTAGCTGGAACTACAGGCGTGCGCTACCACGCCCAGCTAATTTTTTGATTTATTGTATAGATGAGGTCTCGCCAAGTTGCCCAGGCGGGTCTCAAACCCGCGGGCTCAGGCAATCCACTCACCTCAGCCTCCTAAAGCACTGGGATTGCAGGCTGAGCCACCGAGCCTGCTACATAAGTTATCACTTTTATTGACAATGGCAATGAATCCTTTCATGTGTGTTGTTATTTTCATTTTGATAGATTTTCAGTAAAGATGGTGAAAAGGCAGTTTTCACCAGTCTTTTTAACTTCTGGCATCGTAAAAGTTAGTGTTCTCTGTCACTTCTTAAGCAATCATTGCGCAGCTTTGCTCTCTTACTCATTTTTCTTTGCTTGTTTGTTTGTTTATTTAGAGTTGGGGTCTCTGTGGTCCAGGCTGGACTGCAGTGGCACAATCACAGCTCACCGCAGCCTCAACCTCCCGGGCTCAGGCAATCCTTCCCCCTCAGCCTCCTGAGTAGCTGAGACTACAGGCGCACATCACCATGCCCAGCTGACTTTTTTATATTTTGTAGAGATGAGGTCTCGCTATGTGGCCCAGGCTGGTCTCAGACTCCGGGGTTCAAGCAGTCCTCCTGCCTTTGTCTCCCAAAGTGCTGGGATGACAGGCATGAGCCACCGAGCCTGGCCTCGTGTTCCTTTATGGCCTTGCGGCTGTTATCGGAGCAGGTGCTCCAGAGACAGAAGTGGGTGTGAGTGGGACGCCCTGGAAAGAAGCGCTCAGTCTCCAAGGTCCTGAGGAGACAGAGGGGCAGCCCTCTGGGGGCAGGTCTGCCTGGGAAAGGTGGGTCGTTGTAGGCAAGGAGGAGGTGACCAGAGTTATTGGGACCCTCAGCTTGAACAGATGGAGGCATCGGAAGTCACCACTGTGGACGTGAAGTTAGTCTGGGCTGGGGAGACAAGTGTGGCCCTTGGCCAGGCCCCTTCCCCCATGCTCCTGCTGCCCCACAGACAATGAGCCAGCCAGCCAAATGTTTCTTGGGGGGCCCCGGCACTGATGTCCCATGGCCGGCCCCACTTGTCCTGGGACCAGCCTGTGGGACTGCAGGGACCCTCCTTGTGCCTTGCAGGTGCTTGTCCCAGAGATGGCAGCGAGGAGGCAACGCATCCAACTCCTGCACCGTGCTCTCCCTGCTTGGGGCACCCTGTGCCTTCATGGGCTCACTGGCCCCCGGCCACGTTGCCGAGTGAGTCCAGAGGGGAGCGCCCACCGGGGAGGCGTGCCTGCGGGGCAGGGTGAAGGATGTCTCGGCTCTGGCTGGGCGGGTGTTAGAGGCCACCGGGAGGGATGGGAGAGCGGCAGGGGCCAGACCCGGGACCCTCTGGCTGCTTCTCCGCTGTCTGGGCAGCTCCGCAAGAGCTCAGCTGGCTTTCGCAGCCTGTTCCTGGAAGTCGCTTCCACCTGTGCCCTCTTTCCCTGCTTCCTGTGGGCTCTGCGGTGGATTTGCCCTTGCCCTTAAGTCCCTCATCCTGGCCGCGCTTGATGCAGGAGGCAGTTAGGACACACCATGCCCGTCCTCCCTCAGGAAGTCCAGCATTCGTGCTCCTGGGTCCAGGCCCAGGCGAGGGCAGGGTGGTGCCCATGTCCCCAGTGCTCACTGAAGCAGTGAGTGTCCTGCCCAAGAACACTGAGGCCACGTGGTGAAGTCAGGCCCAGAATCATGTGGCCCAGTGCGCCAGCCATCCGGCTGTGGCCATCAGTGGCCATGCGCCTTCCCCAGGTTGGCTGCTGCAGGGACCCAAGAGCCCTTTGACCCCTGGCTGCTGACTCAGCAGGCATTTATCAGGAGGTGAGGCCCACACTTTGCCCACTGTACACACCAGGGCAGCCTGCCAGGTTGCTGGCCTGGGACTTACACCCTTTGAACCCTGGCTTGAGCGGGTATGCCACCAGGCCCAGTCACCGAACCCACTAAGCCACGCCAAACTCCCTATCCGGCTGAGGTGGTGTGGAGGGAAGCAAACACAGGGAGAATCAGCCCCACTCGTTGGGACCCCACTACTCAGCCAAGAGCTGGCCTCTTAATCCACCTTCCCCTCAAGCCGGAGGCTGTGGCTGTCATCTAGGGGTGGAAGTCATTCAGAACTCTCTTGTGTGCCCAACAAACTTTTTTTTTGAGTTGGAGTCTCACACCATCGTCCAGGCTGGAGTGCAGTGGCACACCCACAGCCACATTGACCCACTAGGCTCCGACGATCCTTCCAAGCAGCCAGAACCACAAGTGTACACTACCACACCAGCTAATTTTTTTTTTTTTTGAGTTGGAGTCTCACTCTGTCGCCCAGACTGGAGTGCAGTGGCCGCTCCCGGCCACCGCAGCCTCGACCTGCTGGGCTCCGGCGATCCTTCTGCCTCAGCCTTCCGAGTAGCTGGAATTACAGGCGCGCGCTACCACGATCGGCCAGTTTTTTTATTTATTGTAGAGATGAGGTTTCGCTGCCCAGGCGGGTCTCGAACCCGCAGGCTCAGGCAATCCACTCACCTCAGCCTCCCAAAGGCGTGGGACTACAGGCTGAGCCACAGAGCCCGACTGCTAATTTTTTATTTATGGCAGAGATGAGGTCTTGCCGAGTTGCCTGGACTGGTCTTGAACCCGTGGGCTCAGGCGATCCACTCGCTTCAGCCTCCCAAAGTGCTGGGATTACAGGCTGAGCCACCGATTCCAGCCTCAAGAAACATTTAATGAGCACCTGCCATGTGCCAGGCACTGTGATACAAAAAGTTATGTAGCAAGGCAAACCCTGTTTCTGACGCTTTGGAAAAGCTACTATTTAAAGGATCCTTGAGCTGTGAGTCAAGGAATGATGCCCTGACAGAGTAGCTTTATGCAAATCTGCAGCTTTGGTGTCCTGAGAGTGGGGTCTGGTCTGGCCACAGTGAGAAAGGCCAGGGTGGTGGCTGGACTGTCAGGCATGATTGCCAGCTCTTGGGCACAGAATACTGCATTTCCAGAGAGGGCTGGGCAGGGTGGACTGGCCTCCTGTCCTCCCCCAGGGCTCACTCTGCTGAGAGGAGTCCTAGGCCAGGCCCACAGAGTGGCATCGGGGGCTGGGAGCCAGCTCATTGCCCGGGAGGGTGTACCTGGTGGCAAGAGGACATGGCAGGGAGCAGGCCCACCGAGGTAGCACTGCCCCTGACCGGGCATCCTGGAGGCAGGCAGAAAGTGCATGGAATCTCACTGCTAGGACTGGAGGGCACTTCCAGGAGGAGACGCCATGGGATGAGCACACACAGGGCAGCCGGGGCAAAGTACTGCCTTGGTGATTGTTAATTCTGCCTGGCCAGTGCAGAAGCAGCCATGGTGCCCTCACCTGCTTAGTTCAAATGGGCAGCAGGTTCCAGGCCCGTCTAGCATCGTGAACAGCAGCAAATCCTTTCCAGCTAGAGCTGGACCCACAGGGCTGGAGCGTGCTTCCTTCGGGACCCGAAGGACGCCTCTCGGTGTCCTCTGCGCTCCAGCGGCCCGCCTCTGCTGCCCCTCGCACGGCCTGCAGCAAGACTGACCCCAAGTCCCTCCTAGCTCCAGCTCCCTGCTTGCACCCTTGCTTCTCAGGGTCCTAGTGGCCCTGCCAGCCACCTCGAGTGCCCAAAACCCTTGTCAAGCTGCCCCTCCCGCGGCTACTCCGCCCTGGCAGTTTTGTCCTGGATGACCTCCGCCGCCACGCCGTGGACCTACGCTATACAGTCTTTCAGCCCGTAGGCTCCATCCCCATCGCCACGGTCATCATCAACGAGGCCAGTGGCAGCCGCACCATCCTGTACAGCGACAGGTTTGTACGTGTGTCTGCATCTTGCCAGCTACCGCCACCGTCGCCAAGTCCCCAGTAGCAGGACCCCCTCCCCTCTAGTCCCTCCCCACCCCGTGGGGTCCCAGGCCACTCGGGCCTCTAATCAGCGTCTCCCTGCCCTTTCCCTGGGCTCTCCCCAAGCTTCCTGGTGACTGACTTCAGGCGGCGGGGCGTGGACGTGTCCCAGGTGGCCTGGCAGAGTGGGGGCGACACGCCCAGCTCCTGCTGCATCGTCAACAGCTCCAATGGCAACCGCACCATTGTGCTCCACGACACGTAAGGCCTGGCCTTGCCCTGCCACACCCACCCATCAGCGGCCTCACTCGCCATGTGGCATCCCAGCTGCCCTTGGCGACCTCTCTGGGCCAGAAATTGCCCCTGCCAAACTGCTCCCGATTCTGATTCTGAATTGCTTTCAATTAGGGGAGAAGTGATGGGGGCAGGGATGGGCTTGGCTCTGCCTGGTGACTTGGCCTCGGGGGACACCAGGCCGGTGGGCCTGGACAGCATGTAATTTACGATGTGATTCCTCCATGATTAGCTAGCTAATCAGCAGCTTGGGGATGGGGGTGGGGACGCTGTCCTCAGGACAAAGGGGCAGCAGCTGCGATCAGCCTTTCCTGAGCCCTGCTGGGGGCCCACTGGCTTTCAGGGTCAGCCCCAGAGGTGCCCACTTTCAGCAGGGCACCAAGGAGCTGGGGCTTGGGTGTTGAAAGGAGACTAGCCCCCCCCCAAGGGTCCCAGCATGATGAAGCCAGCCCCCACACAGCCATGGCCCACTGCTGAGAACCAGGAAGAAAGCCCTGGGTCAGCAGGTCAGGCATCCACTGTCATGCCAGGGGGCTGCCCTTCAGAGTCCCATGGACTAGGAGGGTGCAGACCCTCGAGCCCCTCCTTCACTCCCCCTGGAGGAGCTTGGAGTGCATTTACTGAGCACCTGGTGTGTGCCAGGGACAGCCAGGAGGGCCGGAGCCCAGCTGCCCTGGGGCCCCAGGCAGGCCTGGCAGGCCTGGGAGACAGGGGCCGTCATCCCATGACAAGCAAGTAGTCCTGGGCTCCGCGTGGGCACATGGGTGGGCACGACCCTCCCGTTGGGCAGCCCTTGGTGTCTGCACATTGGGGAACAGTCGGGCAGCTGACTGAGGACACACCAGCAGGAGCTGACCGAGGACACATCAGCTGTGCACAGCAGGAGGGGGGCTCTGAGAGTTCAGGCCCACTGCCATGTCTAGGGTCAGGCACACATGGCCCTGCCAAGGCCTGGAGACCACAGCCCGTCCAGGCTCAGGCACCACGGCTGCATCCAGGCTCAGGCAGGCACCACCAGTCCGTCCAGAGCCAGGCACACAGAGCTCCCGTTCAGTCAGCCAGGCACCACGGGTCTGTCCAGGCTCAGGCGCCAGGCCCCATCGCGCTCGGCCCTGCAGGCAGCTGCCGCGCAGGCCCGAGTAGCTCAGCCAGGAGGAGGGGCAGCACGCGACCTGGGGACCAGAGGGGGGTCGACGGCGGGGTTGGGCCTCGGTCAGGCCTCAGCCGGGAGGGTGGCCCGGGCCCACCTCAGCCCCCTCGCCCCAAGCGGCCGAGCCAGCACCTCCGCTC